TTTCCCTAACTATGCTCAAATGCTTTCTCATAAAAGTCATGTTGATACTAATACTCCAGTAACCTTATCTTCTTCATTTCTATGAAATTCTCAAATTCTTAGAGGGATACATAATGGAAAGACAAATTCTTCATTCAGATGACTATCACCAAGTCAAAATATATCCCTGTCTGAAAGTATAACTCAAAGTACGGGGGTGGAAGGAAAATATATTTCCCCTTGGTCATTTTTGCAATGCATACACCCAACAGGAGTTTCCCTATTTGGAATTTGTTTGTCCTTTTGATGGTTAATGCCTCACTTTCTGTCATTAACCAACATCCCATTACTTAGCTTGGGACTTTTAAACATGCTCTTATCTTTTAAAAAAATGCTTTATGGTAGCAGCAGCAGGAAGACTATCTATAAAATCACATTTAAAAAAATGTGATTTTAAATTTTAAAAATTTAAAAAATCCTTTAAAATCAGGACATGCAATTTTAAAAGTGACCTGCAAGAAATGAAGGAAATTAAGAGACAGATTACCAGTGTTCCTTATTTCAAACTAGAGCAACTTTATTTTATGCCAAACAAATATGGAGCAGATCCTTAGCATGTGTAATTTGTCATTGATCCAGTGATATTAATTAAGCCATGACAGCATGATTCAGATACCAAGCTGGACTTACATCTTTCAAAGTGCTGATGTCCAGAGTAAGTTTTCTCAGTTTACAAATGAACAGATTGTTTTCCAGCTGCTGGAATTTAACTTTTTTATTTTAATGTTGGCTATTCACTTTCTAGTTTCCTACTCTTCACTGGCAATAAAGGTTTTGAAAAGAACACTAGTTGGCATTGCAGGGATGATACACAAAGTCACAAAAAAACCCATCACTTTCCTAAAAGGTACTGTCATTTGCTGTTTTAACAGAAACACAGGTAGGCATAGTAATAAAAGCATATGGACTGGTGTGTGCACATTTATATATATTTAGAAGTGATCAGGAAATCTTTTAATTCTAAAAGATTTTTTTAATATCTTTTTCCCTTTTAACGGAAATGAAGCTTTCATGGTTCTGAAAGATAACTCCGGAGGAAATTTGTTATTTCTTCAATATAATCCTATGAATTTATGAATAATACACAACATAAAGCCCTACTTCCTTGATTTAAGCTTTCTTTACTGAATCCCTTAAGGAATTGAGTGGAAGAAGAATTTCTTTGCTCATGGCTCTGAGCTTTTTACCACATTTGGTCTAAGAACTCTCAGCATACCCCAAGACTAACTCTATTGTAGTTTCTATAAACATCTTGGCTTCTGCTGCCTGTCTCCCTATCCCCAAATGGAAAAGCCCATCAAACTCATATCCCCAGCAGCATTTTTCAATCTGATTATTCTCAATTCTGCCTTTAGTTTAAGCTATTAAAAAAGTGTCTATGCTTTCAGTGAAGTTTCTCATTTTAGGTCTACAGAGGGAAGAGTATCATTATTTACCCAAAATGAGTAGTTCCTACCTCTTGCTTTTAGCAAGTTTATCTTAAGTCATAACCAAATGATTACAAAAGGAGGAGAGAAAAGTGATTTGGTAATAGGTGGGAAGAAGGAGAGTGACGAATTCTTTCCTTTTATTAGACAGGCTATCTTGAAAACAAAATGTTTTTAATGTACTACTGTAAATACTAGATATTACAACATAATAAACAAATACAACAGTGGTGAGCTGTTTTAATGCTGAGACCAGAAAGCTTCTGTATTCCTTTTTCTAGCTTGATAACCAAGGTAACTAACAAGAGAAACTGAGATTACCTGATATTCTACCATTGGCTATGTCTTTTCTCTGTCTCCTGCTTCCTTTCCTTATATTTCTGCTGGACTGCACTATTTGAAGGATTGGAGTACAGCCTTTCACTACTATGTGAAAATACAGCGAGTGCAAAAAGATGCTACACTTTGACTTATACTGAAGGTCAGTCTGACACTGTGCAATCAGAGAATGAGCTGAAATATGCCTAAAATGCAAACCTTGACACTGTGCAATCAGAGAATGAGCCTAAAAGCCTAAAATGCCTAAATATGCTTTAATATGCCTAAAATGCAAACCCTGCTTTCTTCTACTCTGTCATGGTTTGGGTTTTTTTGTTTGTTGGTTGGTTTTTGTTTGTTTTTTCGAGGACAAAAGGGGGAAATAAAAGGGGGGTGAGAGTGGAGAGCAGGGGAGAAAAATCAAAATCTTTATAAACTGGTCATCAGCAATGCATGATTAACTCAGCAATAATCTACACGCTCGCCATACTGAGCTAACACTGCCAACCAGGCTTTGGATAAGGTCCTTCTCCACATCAGCATACTCTAATGTAATGGCTGAACTGAATTACATTTGACATTCCTGAATTATATCAAAGCAGATCTTCAGGCAAAATATTAAAACACTGCAGCATTCTGGGCAAGTCTCATCATCAGCTGCGTGCATGTTTTCCCTCTTCTCCCACTGCCTCTGCTGAGTAGGTAATAATGATACCTACATCCTCTGCAAAGTGGTTTGGAAATTACTGATGAAAAGCACTTCAAAATCTAGGCACCAATTGTATGTACCTCAAGCTGCCTCTGTGATCATCTGGGAGAAGATTTCTTCCAGTAAGAAAAATATTAAGTTTAATAGCAGAAACATTTGTCATCCAATCAATCCTTGAAGGTAGAACAGTCTTTGAGGGTAATGAATTGGATAGCATTTTCACATAATCCTCAATAATTAGTCAAAACTGATTACTTCCCATCTTTTCTCGGTTTCCTGTTTTCACACCAACTACTATCAAAGAGAAGGCTTTTAGAAAACTCCAGGCTAGGATAGGATAGATTTAATCAAAGTTCTTTTATACCTGCTAAGTAAACGTGACGATTATCAATCATTCTGAAATTAGTCAGACTACTGCTAACCTTGTAACAACACTGGGAGCATCTTCACACAGGTATGAATTTATACTGTATTAGCTGCATTTGTTTTGCTTTCTGAACATACACAAAACAACAAATAATACTGCTTTTTTATGTAGAGATTCAATTCACCAGAGGACTTAGAAGTTCAGAAGAAAACACTGAAATTCAGTAGAAGGTACTGAAATAAGATTAAATTCACAGGACAGTGAGGATGCAGAGTGTCCATGTGAGATACCAGTGCTAGAAAACTGATGTGCTTTGAACTCACACCAGTGTGGACAAGCAGTGTTACAACGCTCACACATAAGCAATAAATTCCCCATGGGCCCATGCTAAGCCTTAAGGAACAACATAAAATTAAAGCAAAATTCTGATCTTTGATTGTTTGTTGAATATTCTCTGAAAAAAATAGAACATACTCTATTATTGGCTTTTTTATGATTAATTTTACCATACTATCTTCTGGCAGCAGACACTGTCAGTGAAAGGCAGAGGATCTTGTAGGTGGTTTATCATAAAAATAATGTTTAAAACCTCTTGAAAATAAAAAAATAGGGCATGTGAGGCAGAAGATGGGCTACATGGAAATAGGCACTCATTTAAAACAGAGTAAATATATACTTATATATTTTTATAGATATAAAAATAAATAGGTATGGTGCTGGAAAAAGAGTTGAGATTGTTTTAGTTCTGCTGACTACCAGCAAAGGAGAAAACACTTCTAAACACCATGGAGACCAGTAGAGTTGCACATTGTTCAGATCTACAGTTCCTTCTGTTGAAAGCTGGGGTTTTATCAGACAAACACAGAAAGCTTACCAAGTAAAACAAAAGTTTAGAAACTTAGACATGTCACTGCATACCAGTAAAAAACAAAAAGAAACACCACACAACACCACAAATAATGGAAATGACAAGCATTCAATTCTGTTTAATATTAGTATTTTAGAATAAGTCAGTAGAAAAACAGAGCCAATGTCAGCGTGATTTTTCCCCTAAAAGAGAGTAGTAGACTAGGCATTGGTAAAGCTGAGAGTTTCATGAGAAAAAATAATTAAGGAGGAAGGTGCATTCAGGCACAAGTAATATACTCAGAATAAATTAAAAAAGAGTAAATACACAAAATAGGTCAAAGAGAAAAACAAGATCAGAGGAGGAGGGGAGGCAGTGCTCGCAAACAGCAGTGATAGAGGGAATTTTGCACAAAAGTGTAGAACCTTCTAAGTAAATGTGTGGAACTTTGGTCAAATTGGGAAGGGAGGGCAGAACATTCAAAGGTAACAAGAGGTGGTGGTTCATGATTAAAGCAGAAATGTCTTGATAGCTATCACCAGCCAGATGAAACTGAAAGACTCACTGGACTCAGACTGTGGAAAGGAATGTATGTTTGGCAGGGAACAGGAATAATCAGCTACAGGGAAAGAAAACGCAAGAAAGAATTTTCTTGAGTAGTTGTAAACCTGTGAATGGGAAACAGTGATTCCTTTGTTACTGAGAGGTGAGAGAGATGGAATTCAGGCTGGATCATGTGTGTAAGTAATTACCTACAGTAATCAGGGGATGATGGTACAGGCAGAGGGAGAGTGGAGCCTGAACATAAGCACTCCAGGCTGAAAGGTCAGCTTGAGCATCATTCAGCAGTGCTTGTAAAAGAGGATGTTCAGGGTAAAACCCAGTCTGGGGCCTAGAAGTCATTGGCACATAACTCTGTGGGAAACAATGGATCTACTGTATGCTTCAGTGTTAAAGTAAGAGTAGAGAAACACAGGAAGAAGCTTGGCTGCCCAGACAAAGGTTTGCCAGGAATGCAGGCTGGCTCTTGGCTCAGAGGCATCAACAAGGGCCCACCCTGTCTTGTGACATACCTGACACTGCATGGATGCTGTGAGTACCTCTGGGCACCTCAAGGCACTAGAGAGATAATTAGGTACCTGAATCGCTCCTTCAGTGTGTACACACTAAACTCCCTCTGAGAGGACAACTTGACTTTTATTTAGAACTCATACTTCTGTATAAGCAGAGTGCTTTACAAGGGAGGATAAATAGCATGACCTACCTGGGAAACTATGAAATTAAAACTTGGATTTGCCATGTTCATATAAGACAGAAGCAGAATGGTTGTCAGAGCTTCCAACCTCTTGTCATGCTACTTAAGCTAAATGACACCAATTATTACACAGGCGGAGAAAAGTGTTAACAGTGGAGGTAAACTTCCTTTCAGTGGATAGAGCAAAAGCTGTACTGAGGGTGATTTGAAGTGGCTCCTGCAAGGACTGGATGGTCTTCCTCACTGTGTCTGAAATGACAGCAAAGGAGTAAGATTAAGCAGACAGGACAATAAGAAGGGGCTGAAAGTGGTCCTTGGGATGGGAGTAAAGAGCTGAAGCTCGAGACACAGACCATGACCTTGGCAGCAAATTAATTTGGCCCAATAACACTGAACAACTGGCCTCAAAGGAATAGCTAGATAATTGCAAGCAAAAGTTGGTGAGAATTTCTCTGACTTAAAGGCTAACATATTACATAAGGAGGCCAAAGTGCAAAAGGAAAGAAGTGCATAAAGCAAGAAAGAAAGGTCCCTGGCTGTGTTTGTGCAGAGAAGCAAGTGTGCGCACACCATTACACCAGAGCCTTACCTCCAGAGCTACTGTGCCATTTTTCCCTTGGTGAGGTACTTCATAAGCCTCGATTTGCTGCTTTGTGAGCCGGGCTAGCTTCTCCGCAAGCTCCCGCCAGTATTTGCCAAGCTTGACAGCTGAAGTCAAAATGATGGTGTCTTGGGTAAGTCGTGCCACTAATCCCTGGCAATCTATTTTCAAAAGTGCCTGCAACAATCATTTTCATTAGTGTTCCTTCACCAGTAATTACAAACAGAACATTATCATTTGTTTTTATAACACTATTCTGCATTTCTAAGCAGACAGGAAGGCTTTTTGTCTATTTTGTGTTCTTACAAAAATATAATGGTTTTTCCTACAAAAAGGTGTTTCCAACAGTTTCATAGGAGAACTACCCACAAGCTTAAAAAAACCTTAAGCTGTCCTTCAGCTGCTTCAGCATTCCAGTTACACATGGATCCTGCCAAGTTTATAGATCCTGAAGGAAAAATATGCTCTTCCAACAAAAATACTTGGGACATCAAATTCAGGTTCATAAAAGTATAAGATGAAGCTTAAAAATGAAGTTAAACCACTATTATACTAAGGTGTGGTCCTTCATCTACCACTTGTTCAGAAAATCCTTAGCCAGTGCCTTTTGATTTACTCCTCCCACAGAACTGATTATTTACTGACTATTAAGCAGAAATGAAAGCATAAAACTCTTCCCTATGCCAAATGATTTTTTAATAACAAGCAAATTAAAATGGTCCTAGGAGTGAAACCCTGAAATAGAGATATGTTGTATTCTCCTCTACTTGTTTCCATAAGAGCTCATGAGAAAAATAGGTATTGTTTTTTCTTCTCTTCAAATTAACAACAAAATGTTCTACTGAAAATGTTGACTTTCTCCATTGAAAGCTCAAGAACAAAATTCTGAATTTCTCCTTAGTTTTTAGATACTGATTTTTAATAAGATATGAATCATTTCTGCAGAAATCAGATATTTGTGTGATTTTATTGCAAAACATTTTCCCAATAAATCCTCATTGCACGCAGTAGAATTTTTGGTTGGCAAGATGTTTGTCTAATGTAAGTAACCAGACAATACTCAGCACGGATGCCAAACTCTCAAACTAGTGCCCCTCTAGAAGGAAATACTGAAGTCATAGTAGTGAGAAGCAGACAATAGTGTACAGTACCAAATTTTCCTATATTTTGGCAAAGTGGAGACAAAGTTTTCTCTGATAATCAAGAAGCCTATTAAACATAAAAATAAGGGATTAATTAAAAGAAATAACCAGTAAATTCTAATGAAAAGTGACATGGATGATGCCTAGCTTTACAAAGACAGGGACCTGCATTGGCACTTCATAGCTCAAACTCATGTACATTTCAACAAAACAGGACATCTTGTTAATGTAGTTATGCTTCACCTTTTGCCTATTCTGTAATGAACTCTCTGTTTCACTATATTGAATTTCAAGTTTGGATCATTTTCATCTTTAGCTCACCACTTCCCTTTTTGTAGAGAGTCACAGCAGACTAAACTGCACTTCATACTTGCTCAGTTTTATTCCACACAGTTTAACAGAGTTTTAAAAGTTATAAGTGGCCACTGCTACCAGAATTTTTTGAATCCTGCTAAAATGCTATCTCCATATTCAAAGGAGATAGACTACTTAAGAGAAGTAAACCCTGTTAAAGTTTGCAATTTGAGATAGTCAAAAGGCTTTAGAAAGGATACAATGTGAATTTTTAAGCACCCAATTTTACAATACATTATTTTCATATGAGAAATTTAATTCTCTTTTGTCCCTAAATAGGCTGGTAGACTTTTCAGCCAGAGCCAAGTAATCATTAATTCTAAATTAATTTGTGCACAGATCCATAAGTAAATTAAGATGGTTAACAATGCAACCTGTTAGCTGGAAGCACCTAGAATAAAACCACTTTTGATTCACGTGTAACGGTATTGAATCATGTAGAAGTTGTCCTGTGGCTTACAAATGAGGCCCATGAAAATATGTACTGAAATACTTGCAATATTATCGATTGGTCATTACAACATTGACTCTGAAGTTGTCATGTGTGGATAGAAAATCTTGTCTTTAACATGTGGGTCAGGATTTCCTGGCTTTAAAGATATGAAGCAACTTTAACATGCACCTTATTTTACAAAAGATAAATAAATAATGGAGTTTCCACATAATAATATAAGGTTACTAAATACTTCACAATAGGAATGTGAATTGCTCAGGGAAGAAATTTACTGTGATGAATTTCCTGGCAAAAGACAAAACTGTTTCAATCACTGCCAGTTAAAAACAAAAAAATCAACCCAGTCATCCTATTAAATGAGCAAGGCTCCTGGAACATTTACACAACAGTGTTTAGAATTAATTAATCAAAGTATTATTCTTCATGACACTCTGGATGTATTTTCCATCTATAGATATCTATAGGTGTCTACAACTTCTAGTAGTATGTTCAGGCCTGTAAAGATTTCCACAAGGTTTCAGAACCACATTTTCCTTTTAACATATTAATATTGAATAGTTTCTGGCCAATGTCTTCCCAATAACCAAGTTAGTTCATGCAATACTTACAACAATGAGCTCATAAAGAAACAGTCTTTTTTTTTTGTTAGCGTGGCAGTCTTCCTTCATCCTCTTCACAACATGCACAACTCTCTCTGATTCTTTATCAGCATGTGCCTCGCTGAAGTCATCCAAAGACATATGTGAATATCCTAGCACCTCAGCCAAAGCTCTCCAGTCATAAACACTCTCTGATACTGTAGACAGAACTACTGAGTAGATGTAAGTCAGTTTTTTGAATGGCAATGCAATTTGTTCAACAAGATTCTTGGTTGTTAGCTCACTATCAGCAGTGTCCATAGCTTGTTCTTTGGAAATCACTTTTACATTTTTGCAGTGTACCAGACCAATTTTTCTTCTGAGAACTCCTACATACCAATCTTTTATTTTAGTTTGTCCAACAGCTTTTACTTTATCTTCACCAAGAAGTGCTATTGTGTCCCCTTTAAAATATTCTAGCAAATAATCAATCTTATTTTGACGTAACACAGTTTTCAAAGCCACTCCGTATGTATTAACGCTCAATGTTTTATCTTGAAACTTTGGATATTTAATAGTTGGTATTAAAAGCAATGGTGCAGACTTGACTTCTTTGCGGTTTTGTAAGCGCTTTGGCCTATTGATAATTCCACTTAACTTTGGAGCTGGATCAGGAGTTGTAACATGGAACTGCGTTACTTGGCTACTTTTTAAGACTTTAATCTGAACAAGGAAAACAAAGAAATGCATCTCCCTACACCCAAGCATGGAAAACAGGAAGTGTTGGTGGACCATTTCACCAGTTTTCAGCTCCTCCTCTTTAATATTTTTGCTTTGGTCTTCCATCTTCACCTCAAAATCTGGATCACAGGATACCAAAGAAATGTTTAAATCTTGTGGTTTTTCAAGCAGAAATGTATGTTTTCCCCACAGCTGAAACACAACAGGAGGCATATTTTTACCCCCCTTTTTTATATCACAAATTGTGAGTTTTTCTGGAATGTAGTTATGACCAAAAACTGTAAAAACTGCTGTAAAAGATGGATGAACATATTTGGGACCATAAATTCCAACTGAGACAGTTCTATGGATATAGTCCCACACATTAGTTGCGGGAGGCTGGATTTTGTTTGCTTGTACAGCAATTACTGCATACATCACATGACTTAGGTCCACTAGCTTCACTTGTATTGTATCTTGATAGGTGTAGGAATTCTCCAGCTTCTTAAAAGGCCCTTCTTTATTGAGACTAAAAAAACACACAATATCACTCATCACTTGGCTGAGTGGATCGTTCTTCACTTTTGCTGCAACTTTCACCTCTAGGAAAATGGCTTCCCTCGTGTTAAGGTTGCTCAGCGTGAGTTCTATCAGGGGACTTACAGTGCTAGACAGCTCATTGTTAAATGACGATGGAGGGTTAAGGATAGCCTTTAAACCAACTTCTTGGAACTCCCCAGGTAATACATGACCCACAGGGACATGAATGTTGATATCTGAGTCAGGTAGCTGTACTGAACCCCCTTCATGATTCAGTTTACAAACTACATGTATGTCTGTAGCTTGTGTTTGTGCCCATCCAGGACTATGGCTCATGGCTTCTAAATCTAGGCAAGACCGGGTGAGTTGTCGGTGACTCAACCAAGCCACCTTGTAGGCTTCACGGTCATTTTGAAGCCATGTCATGTCTGAAACAATAGTTTTTTGAGGTATTGTCTTGTGAGGATTAAATCTTCTATTATCAATAATATCCAGGAAGTCAGAGACACTCTTGGATCGTCCCGATCTTCTTGCTGAAGTCTTTCTTAGAAGACAATCAATATCTAGCTCATCGCCTGAGGAAGCCAAAGAATCCCTGTTGCTAGAAATTTTAGAGAACAAATAGGGTTTTTCTTTTAAGATCGAAAGGTATTTATTATTTTCATTTCTATTTGAAGCTGCTATGTCATGTACAAAAGGGTTGGAGGCTGACAGTTCATTCCAGAATGGATTTGTCTTGGAAACAGCATGGGAATGTTTGAATACATGAGGCCATACAATATCCAAATCCAATTTATTTTCATTGGCATCTGTTTAAAAGAAAAAACAGAAGCATTTCCTAAAACACAGATACTTGAGACATTCCATTCATTTCCAACTGATAGTATGTTAAGCTAACAGGTGACTAAATTTATCCTCCTAAAGTACATATAGACCATTTACATATTTCTCCTTCAGGTTTTCAGAGAGACAATATTGATTTCTAAGTAGCATTAAGAATATTTTTTAGTAGAAAGAGTGCTAACAAATTAGCACTGAAGGATGTAAAGCATCTTCTGTGAGGTGCTGATCATTATCAACTGCTACAACTATTAAATGGTATCAACTATGCTAAGACTCCATCAGGTTTAAACCCTTTATTCGAGTAATTTTTGGTCTCTTACAAAATACCATGGAATTCTTTCCTTTTTGTCTAACACTCTGCAAAGATTCAACAACTATTTTTTCTTTTTTTCAAACACTGTTGGCAATACAGATAAATGTATTACTCGGTATTCTTTTTCATGCTAGTGCACATGCATTTAATTGATAACAGCACTTTTACAATTTATCTCACTGTGTGTGGAATTTGTTACACTAGTTCTAAATTTTTAAAAAATAATTAGTATAACTTATGAGGTCTTGTACAATTTGAAATTTGGAGAGAAATATTTTTATGGCTACTGATTTTTCTGACATTGCATTAAAATATACAACTAGGGGTGTAGAAGTGGTATTTCAACATGCTTTCTAGTAAGAATACTCATTAGTAACAACAGTGTCTATTTATTCTGAAGTCAAGATCTCCTTATATTTTACATTAATAAGTGTTCACATAAGATGGTTTATAGGTTCATTAAGACTCACAGTTCTTGTAACGAATAGAGTATCTGCAATTTTTGTGCTAAGGGATTCTCTTACTTGTTTGACGTTATTTTTCTATATACAGAGATTGTACCATCCCTTCTTTATACATCCTTGCAAAGAATTTTCATTTTAGAGGGAAAGTTCAGCATTTCTATTATTTCAGCATATTTATATCCTTCATTATTACACTTTCCATAGTACCTTCCATCTCCAAGGTTAATAATTATTGCTCAATTGCAAGAATGACAGTTCATTCAGCCATAAAAAGAAGGAAAAAAAAAAAAAGAAGAAATGTTAGTACTTTTTGTTTCATTTGTCATGAATTGTGACAAAAAGCCAAAACATTCCCACAGTTCCATGAAGTGTTCCCACAATTCCAGAAATATTTAAATTTGGAAGAACCGAAGTGAAATTTATCAGTTCCCTAACTGTCCATCTGCAAGGCTCCAGCTTTATCTTGGCAAGAGACTTCTAGGTAAGTTGCTGGGGGAACGGAACCCAGGGGCATCCTCCTCCTCCTCGGGCACCCAGCCTTGGCCAGGGCCACCAGGGCTGAGTTGCTCAAGCACCAGCTGAAAAGACCTTTTTTTTCTGCTCACACACAGAACAAAAACTTTCCTTGCTCTGTGATGCTATTACAGTCAGATGATGATTAGCTATTAAAAAATAAATTAATAATTAAAAAAATGTTAGGACTTTTTTTTTGCTTCCCCATCCTAAAGGACATGTTTCTAGAGGAAAAGTCTGAACAGAGAACTCTGGCAGATCCTGAGTTATTAGGCTGGACGCTTTCTCATGCCAAGGTAACAGCACAGTTTACTGGGGTCAAGGAGGTCAGCGAAGAAATAATTTCTGCTCTCCAACTCATACAGTAAGTGACAGGCTCGTCTCTACTCACACCTGCTACTGGACAAAAAGCTAAGAGAATGCTTGCCTTGTGGAGGGCAATGTTTTCTTAACTTTTGGGTTAAAATAGCAATGAGTTTAAATCAATTTTGCTTAGACTCCAGTTTTTAAACTCTACTACTTCCAAAAATACCTTGCCTTTCTGGTTCTTAGAATCCTAAATTAATGTAGTTTGGCCAAGAACTCGCTCTTCTTTTGCCGGTCCTGACCCAAGTAAACATACCCTAAACAGCATTTATTCATGTAAGGTTAATGATTCCAGCTCTTCCTCCCAAACTGCTTGACCCACATTTGCTATGGCAGGGGATAGAGGATTTCTGAGATAGCAGTAAGTTTCTCCTAGGGGACCTTGTGACAACCCCTTGTGTTCTGACTCCAGGGACATCTACAATGGCCTGAGTAGCGCAAACCACAAGCATTAATTAATTAATTAATTTTAAAAGTGTACAGGTGTTTACACAGTAGCTATAGCTCTTGACACTACTGAGAATTTTGCAGAAATACAGACTTTAGGTGGAGAGCCTTAGTACAGAAACTAGCAGAAGAGACATACTGTAGCTGGCTGCAGGTGTCCGGTCATCCACATCAAGCAAAGTTCCCTCTGACATGCTCCGTGGAATCTCTCCACTGGTTACGGATTCTGTCCCACTGCTGGAAGTGTTCTCCTCCTAGGAAACAGTTAAACATATAAACCATCAACAAATATGCAATTTCAAAGAGGTGAAACTTTATTTTTCTACTAATTCAATTAGTAGAATACTAATTGAGCTTTGTTACTGTGATGTGACACAAATGGAAAAAAAAAAAAGTGAAGCTATGGTGTATGAGTAAATTTATGAAGTCTGTCCAAGAGCATCACAATCCTGAGTGTGTCTTACCATCTAATTTGCAGCAAAACCAGCAGATGCTACAGCTGCAGTGCAATACGGTAGCGCAGTCCATAGCGAAGTACAGTAACTCACATAATTAAACATCTTGCAATTGGAACTGAGCCAGTTGTACAATAACTTCCATTCAGAAGGTTGTGAATAAAAACATTAAAAAAAATCCTAATTCCTGTTTTCAGTTAAGTTTGACTAGAATCATTAAAGAGGAAAAGCTAGATCTGTTCCATCCTTTACCAATTAATACAAAATATGTCCAACCCTTTCTGCTTTATTATTCTTCCTATGCTCTTCCCTGAGTGATCAGGCCAGATTTTTCTCTTGTCTGTACAAGAATGACTTAAAGTGCCCTTCTGCAGTGCACATGCCTTCACAGCAACAGCTCAAGAGAAGATGTTCAGGACTCTCCTCTTCCCTGTTCTGGCTACAAGAAGTTCTGTTTGGTTTTGACACAGTTTGTGCATGGACTGGGCCACACAAGCTGTAAACCAGATGCTGTGGTTGAACGAGAGTCAAGAGTAAACCTACCGCAACGGCGGGGCAGGGCAGGGGGGGCATTGCTCTGAGGCAGGGAACAGCAGAATGAACCTCTCAAGGTACTACTGCCTAATGCTGTTTTCAGCTGCCCAGAAAGAGGAGCTGCAGGTCTTCAAATTTGGGTGTCCTACATGCTAAAGTTACTGTGTCCCTGAAACAAAAACTGGAGGAAATGCAATCTTCTAGACTTTTTTGTGCAGGAGAGCTCATTAAATTAGTGCTATAAACCAAGACATCATTTAGTGACTTTCCCAGAATCCTCTTGCTGATCCTATATATATTGGGGTATAAATGCTGATGGGCAACAGATACATTAAGATGGAGGGTAGAGGAGGGGAGGGGAGGGGAGGTAAAGAACTTTCTGGGTCTATCCATAGGACGCAACAGGCAGCTTTGTTCAGGAGCCTGAAATATTGCAGCCTTTTACTTCTGCAGCAGCAAATGCAGCCTAAGCGATCTCATTTGATCATATTTAAAATGGGGAAGGAAAAAAAAAAAAAGAAAGATACATTGGGCCTGGTTTTACTGTGACTGTAAGAAAAAGGAATTTTCAGTTACAGTTCCAGTAGGTGAGTTATGGGAAAAAAGAAGCGTACCTTTTATCAAAGCATTACTGAATGGAAACTTGCAGCCTCTTTCCATTGCACAATGCCATGGTTTACAACATCTATTTTTAACACTGCAAATGTAAATTGGTACTTTCTGTGCTTCCCACCTTCAGCTAATGGCAATCTGTTCAGGTGCTGATTTGCACTCAGGCAGGCCACAAGGCTGAGGTCAGGCTAAGCCTGACTGTCACACAGCCACCCTGCTACCACAGAGCTGTGCAGACTTTCAGGTTCCTCTGTTACCAGGAATCTCAAATGTTGGACTTGGAACTCCTGATTTCAGAGAGAAGTGAAAGCTAATCTCCAAAACTAATACTTTTGTGGCTTCAGCTATTAATAACCCACCAGAATCTAACTGGAAACTAAAATGCCTCCTTAATCCAAACACCATAATTCCAAGGTCTGACAACCCACACCTGTATAAAAATATCACTATTCCTTCTGTCTCTGCTAAGTGACAGTATATTTGATAATGTGTATGGATTCCTTCAAAGGAAATAAATTTTGCTTTGCTGCTGCACCTCAGAATGTTAAAACAATGAACATATTGGATAAACATGCAAGATTTTTAATCTCAGGCGTCTACTGCAGGGATTGAGGAGGTTTAATCACACCAGCGTAAGGCATCCATAGTCTAAAATCCCAATAAATGTACAAAAAGAAAGTCTACTTTTTACCATACCAGTGTATCTGTTGCCAGCACTAATCTCTGACTAGTAACTTATCGATCAATTGACATGACTCTAAGAACAGTTCTTTAAATAGTTAAAACACCCACAGTTATTTCAGTAGCTGTATGAAGTAGGAGGCACTATGTAAGGATGAGGAAAGAGCACAACAGTGCAAGTAGATGCACAGGGGCTAAAACAGGAAACCCATGGGGGAAGGGAAGGGAGAGAGAAAAATCAAAACAATCTCTTTACACAGTGGAAGTATATCAACAGAGACATGACAACAAGATTGCACACAGAAGTTTTAAAAACACTAAAAATTTCTGCAAATAGAATAAGCCGTTTCCTAAAAGTTCCCCCTGGGAACTCCTTAAAACCTTCACCACCATCCTGGCACAAAGACAGAAAAGGCGGATGCTGAAAAGGAAAACCACTCTCAAAAATAACACCACCACCCTCCTCCTCAAAAGCATTCCTTGGTATGAGAGCATGATGAGGGAGCCCTTGTGATTGAGGCAAGTCTTCAGGCCAGCCAAGAAGAAGATGAAAGGAGGAGTGAAATATAAACATTCCAGGGCAAAAGATGACCACATTTGGTCAGCATGTCAAAGGATGTGGGAAATGCTGGGGACAAGCTGTACATATGCCATCGGGTACCGGGCAATGTGCCTTCTGAATAGTCACATGATCCAATACCAAGGTTGGGTCCCATTTCTCCTGTATTCCAGGCTTAGTGCTGGGAATAGACAAATCCCCGGTACCTTTGTATGGAACTAGGAATATAAGAAAACTCAATACTCTCCCTTTTCCATGGACACATTCTGTGATAAAACAGCATCTCAAATGAAACTTTTGATGGGCAACCCTATTAATTATGAACTTACCTGGAGAAATCCAGAATAAATAATAATCATCCAAAAGAGGAGATCAATGCATGTGGGATATAAAGCCATGCTGATCGGTGGTGAAGGGGAAAGGTATGAAAACATTTTGCTACAAAAAGAGGGAATTATGTATAGGAAGAATCAGAAGCTAAGCTTTTCATTTGCTGTAGCTACTGAGAAAGAAAGATGTAACCTGACAAGTGCTCAATGGTGCAAAGAATTATTTGAATGATGGTATGTCAGCTCACAGTGTGAAGTGATCAGGGCATGATGAAGAGGTTAGAAAGAGATCAGCTATGGAGGTGATCAGGGAGAGAACCTGAGTGACTGCTGAGAGACGTGGCATTTTTCTGTATGAGGGAGTTTGCCAGGTTCACTCCACTGTTCAAGCCTGGAGTGCCTTGCTTGACCCACTAGAGCAGGGGACTCGGGACCCAGAGTGCTGCTGGCAGCACATTGCAGCACCGTTACAGAGGAAGAAAAAACACATTCCAGGAAGAAGAAAGTCTCAGGTAGAAATTGCAGTTTCACAGAAGTTAGGAGACATAGTTGCTGCAAATGGTATTTTTGCTGCATGTGATGCCTCCAGAAAGCTCTTCCAGGTCTTTTAAAATTCAAGTGCACTTCTTTCCTTTTATTCTTTTCAGTCTCTCTACCAAAGAAAACATGTCCTGCTGTGCTTAAAATAGTGGTAAGGGAGAAAATGAGAAAAGCTCAAAAGCAAACACTTCCCCACTGCCTTTTCCCTCAAAAATGAGAGAGAACACATTCCTTTGTGTTTTTAAAGTATCAGCATCCTAGAACAAAACACTAGCAATTTGCCTTTCATTCAACCTTACCCCTTCTTCAAAAGCAGGTTGTGTTAAGAGCAGTGCTCTCTTCTGGTGTCTCCCCATAGTCTCCTACGTTAACTTTACATGGACAGTGTTATGCAATCACACTATTATTCACAATGATTCATGGCCTTTGTATCAAGAAGATGAAATTTATGCATTTGCAGAGACAGGACAAGCAACACAAGCAGGTAATGGAGATGTCCCTCATTCCTCAGGCTGTCTTTTAGCCTTCTTGGAGAAAAACAACTTGCTAGTTACCTAGTTTGGGTTGTTAGACTTACTTTACAGGTTTATTTCTGACAAAGGTGCAACATATATTCACGAGAATGTTCAGTGGTCCCGAGCTGACCAAATACTAACTAGAATGAAATATTCAAATTCTATTAAATAGAGAGAAGAAAAGGAACTCTAAAGAGAAAGCAATATACAAAAGAGAGGTTGTTTCAAAAGGCACTACACATCACCATCATATCTAAAACACTGCCCGTTCCCAGAAGATTAACATGTTTCTAGATAAACATTATTTACAGTAATGGGTCGTATTTTAACAGTCCCTCAATACTTGTGATGTGAACAGCTTTATGTAGCTCAGAGTGTTGTGAGGGATGGTTGGACCCAAGTTTACCAATCTTTGGTTACAGGGCTGGACTGTGGTACTGCAGCTAATGGTGATAGTACAGGATAGCAAATTAAACCTTCAGTTGAAGTGACAAACTACTTCTGTCTGATGCACGTGAGGCAGTCAAGAAAATGCTGTTGTATCTGATTTTGAACAGGGGCAGAAATGGCTTTTAAAATTCAGCCTCAAGAAACCTCAACCCTTAACTTACTAATACTTGACAGCAACATTAATGCTTTAGTATGACTCTATTACTTGTCACTGTCTATAGTGATAGAAAACCATTTTCAATTGATATATCTACTAGTTGACTCTGGTTAAATAGTTGCCATGTTTGGTACCTACTTTTTCAATGTTCTGGAAATTTATCACCCTGTGGGAAGTGCAGAGCCACTCACACTCACTTCTGAACACTTCACCCTCTTTCCTGAACTCAGGGTTTAAGCTTTCTGCAGACTGCACATACATCTACACTACTGCTCGTAATACTTCATCTGAGCTAGCGTTAAAGGGTAGAGCTAGTAGTCTCAGCACAATGAAAACAGGCCTTGAAGTGGGTCATCTTCTCAGTAGATTTCCACAACTTCACAAGTGGGTTTTTACAACCTCTGCTCAGCTCTGCACAACCC